CCAAAAAAAAAAAAACAGTGCAGTTATCCGTGCTTTATTCTTTGGTAAAAGTCGTCTTCATTCATTTGAGGTTCTTTACCTGGGTTATTCAGCCAAGTCTGAAAGGATAAGTAGAAAAATTAGGCAGAGCATAGAATGAATGAGACTGTTGCAGGCAGAGAACGTGGGAAGCCTGAGGCATTAGCGCGGTTTGTTTAGAGGCATTGGTGGCTTGAATTGTCGTATCACAGCCAGGCATGGTGACTCCAGTCTGTAATTCCAGCACTTTGGGAGGCCGAGGCGAAAGAATTGCCTGAGACCAGGGGTTTGAGACCAGCCTGGGCAGCATGGCAAGTCCTCATCTCTACAATAGATAAAGAAATTAGCCAGGCCTGGTTGCATGTGCCTGTTGTCCCAGCACTTGGGGGACTGAGGCACAAGGATTGCCTGAGCCCAGCGTGTCGAGACTGCAGTGGCTGTGAGCGTGCCACTGCATTCCAGCCTGGGTGGCAGAGGGAGACTCCGACTCAAAAAAATAAAAATTGTCATTCCACCATTCATAATGCCAGCCAACCTTACCCACGACCCTGATCCGTGTAATTTCCCCTCTTTGAATCTACTCTGCTTCTACTACACAGCTTTTCACATATTATCTTTATTATTTATATCTGTCTTTCCTCACTCATTAGAGGAAAGATACGTCTTGTTCTTTACTGCGTCTACAGTATCTGGCAGTTCTTTGAAGCCAAGGATGAGCTTGGAACATGGACTGCAGGAATTGTTACAGAAAATGGTAAATGAAAGGAATTTTAGAGTGGTTTTTGGATCAGTTTTTCATCATAAAGGGTGGGGAATTAGTTCCGTTTCTTGCTAGTTTTGAAGAAGACTTAGCAAATCCTGCATTAGGTAAATAGCTTTGGACATTGAGTTAAGGGTGTTTAACTAGGGTTAGGGCTGGAGGGCGGTGGCACGGTCAAGGCTTCCACAGCCCCAACCTGCCAGGCTCAGGCAGTTCATCCAACTCAGCCTTTCAAGTAGCTCGTGGCATGCGTGACCACACCTGGCTCATCTGTTTGTTTGTAGAGATGTGGTCTTGCCATGTTGTCCAGACTGCCTCAAAACTCCTGGACGCAGTCAGTCCTCTTGCCTGGGCCTTCCAGGTGCTGGGATTACAAGCGTGAGCCATCGCGCCTAGCCTAGGCACTATTTATTTTCTTTTTTTTTTTTTTGAGTTGGAGTCTCCCTCT